ATCCATCCATCCATCCATCCATCCATCCATCATCTATCTAAAATTAGAAAAAATCTGACCTTGTTTTTTTAATCTTACCTTCTATCTAAGATATTCAAAAGTATTATTAGTATTACAGTATTTTGCAATTCCTATCAAGAGATACGATATATTACAGGAAAAGATCAATTAAAATGCAAACAAAACATTTATATTTTTTCAGAGAAAATTAAAACAAAACATTTATATTTTTTCAGAGAGCAAATACTTGAAACCATACATTTGAAAAGTTAGTTTTTCATGTGTTTGTGAGCGCCACCTATGGGTTAACTGTTATGGGAGGCAGATTTTGCAAAAATGTTTTTTGCCTCTTAATATTCTCATGATATAATTACTCGTTTATTGAAATACAAATGGTTCATTATGAGACACACTTATGTGTGTCACTTACTGTACATCAGTACCTATACACCAACACAGTGGTATCATCATGATCTAGGACATACAAATTTCAAAAGAGTCTGACCTTTGTTTGGGAGTCATAATGAAGGGAAAAAAGTTTCCAATTGGTAAATACCCATCATTGTTCACCCATGTGACTGGGTAGAGATTAAATATGTAATATATGGGGGTATGTAACGTAAGTGACACACACATTAACTATGTCATCAAGGAGTGAAGATGGAAAGGAAGGTTGTTGCAGCACATCTGCATGTAAAGGTGGACACTGACCACTTCAGACGGAGGTGTGGTTGTTTTATGACCTCTCGACCTGCTTTGTTGTTGTCAATATGGCGTTCTCTTTGTGTGTGTGTGTGTGTGCGTGTGTGTCATTAGCCGTGTGAACCAGGAGGCTCTGTAATAATGATCAGCACTGAAGCACCTGTAATGTTGGAACAACCATAAAAAGGGTTCCCATGGTCAAATGTGAGAGGACTTTCTGGACACTTCATTTGACTGAGAAACTGTCGAACACATCGGTAGTTATGTACTCTAGATCAGTACTTCACAAATAGTGGGGTGGGCCCCCCGGTGGGACACGGTGAGGTGCCGGGGGGGCGTTAGGGGCTTCCAATGGAATATGGCACACTGGACATCAGTGTACCACTGCTGTAATGCTTGAATGATAACAAGCCTCCTCTCACTAGGTGGCAGCAACTCATACAGTGGTTTGTACAGATAACAATATACATGTTATCAGGTTCTCAATAGTATTTCAATTTGGGAGTGGGTTAGAGGTGGGGGGCGTGAAAACATTTCTGTTGCCAAGGGGGGGCCTAACAGAAAATAACTGAGAACCACTACTCTAGATTTAGCTAATGGCCTAATTTGCTGTAGTCCCTGGTTAGAAACATAATAAAATAAAAGAACGGTTGTGGTTTTAAAGTTAAAATCAACTCATATGAAAGATGTGATCATCAGTTACACGGTCGGCTTTCTCCGGGATGTTTATTTGTTAAAATATTTTTATTGCTGTTTAATGAGAAGATTTTTTTTTTTTTAAGTTAATGCACATGTTCACCTCCTCCGTGATGGGCTCTGTTTAAGGATTTATGATATAGTTTAATTTAAAGGATACTTAAAGTCGAAGGTCATATTAGGTAAGAACAGTTTCTGTTCCAATTCTGCTTCTGATTTACACTCATGACCTGAAAGATATCTTGAACTAGTTCTAACAATCTGGATTAATCTTGGTCTCAGTTAGGTTGTTTTGATCATTTACAAATAAATCATTCAATTTTTCTTAC